GAAGACGTTTGTTTTATTTTGGCCCTCGCGCAACTATCTTTGCAACATTATGTATAGCGATTAGTATCAGTATATAGAAAAGCTCAGAAAACATGCGAATTTACTTTTTTAACATGAACTTTTCCAAGTAATTGGCAACTTTGCTCCAATGTGTTGAACAATTTATGTGCACTAATAACAAAATCGTCGATAGCGGGAAACCGAAAATTCCGCTACTAGACTCAGTAGCCGACAGTCAGTAGCCAGTAGCCATACGTAACGCGAATTTTACAATCTATCAGTCGCCATACACAATAGGGCCATAAATATTTGAGAGTTAAATAAATCCTTCAAATAAACCGAAATTGTTTTCAATATTTCCGAAATAAATAAATCATTTAAAATTTTACTTACTGCTGCTCCATTTTTCGTCTTTCTATTTTCCTATCTTCGCCGAAATATTTTGACATTTGAATGGATGCCTTCCAATTTTCTTCCAGAATCATTCACAATGGCGCAATAATTGAACTTGGCAGTACACCGATCCAGGTCGTATAACGTTATACGAGTTGAAATTAGCTCGTATATATTACACGAGTTGTGTTGTTGTTTCGCATGTAAATGGACATTTAAACTTTTGTAGCTCGGTTGCAAAAGAATACACCAATAAATAAGATGGAGGAAAACTGGTGCTGCCACTTTATTAATACAATTTATATTTCAACTTTAAAAACACCCAAATAATGCACAAGAAATATACTTTTGTGAACAGTTCCTTTCCTTTGTACACAGGGTTACAATCCCCAAGCGCGGCCGAAGGCCGGCTACGCAGAAAGGTGTTCTCTGTAAAGGTGTTCAGCCCATTTTCTTTGGCAACACAGAAAGGAGAATTCTACGTAGTGAGGGTTTTAATCCCTAAGCGCGGCCGAAGGCCGCCTACGCAAAAAGCAGTTGGACACAAAAAAAACTTTTTTAATAGAGTGGCAGCAGCAATTTGCCTCCATTTTATTTTTAGCAGAGTGGCAACACCAGTTTTCCTCCATCTTATTTATATTAACTTCACAAGATTGTTGTGCGGATTTTCAACATTGGAATATTGCAATTAAATACAGATTGTCGTGAATATTTACACTTAAAACATCACAAATGTATAAAAATTAATAATTACGTATTAAGTTTAGTTCATTTACTCCATTTATTTTCGTCAAATTCATCAAAACATAGTGCGAAAAGTACAAGTGTTTTTTGCAAATAACTCTTTAATGAATAAAATTGATACCCCTCTTCATTTTTTTGGTCAATTTTCGCCTGGTTCCGCTGAAGTGCACTTTTACCTCGTTTTCTAGTAGTTTGAATGTTCGTTTCTCAATGCTTTCCAGGACTTTGCAGTTTTTTTAACCATGTCTTTGGTGGAATTTTGTAGTATTTTGCAGGTAACCACTTTGCATTTTAGCCATTGAGCATACAAATTTCCGAAATCCAAATGCTCTGCTTGGAATTTTATTATTGCGTCTTTTAAAGGAGCGAACACGGCGTCATAACAATCCACAAAATCGCAGAGAGAATCGCTGTTGTGAAAGTTTTCGTCGATGGTTTTATTTGCGATAGATTCAACAGCAATCAAGGCATCTTTTGTAGCCAGTAGAGTGTGAATTGTTGTTGTTGTTGTAGCAGCATACAAATTCCCCAAAGACTTTTTGGGGAGTGTTGCGTAGTAGAGTGTGAATCATTTTGTACGGTGAACCCCATCTTGTCCAATCGAGTTGAGGAAGTTTAACACTGTGCAATTCGAAAGCGTCCTTAAATCCATTGGAAGGTTTCCGAATAAACTTTTTTTTTCATTATCTTTCGTGACATCAAGAGCACATAATTGAGCAGTGTGGGCTGCACATCTACAAATTTGAATGTACCCAACACGAAGATTCGTTGGGCTTTCTAGGTTTTTGATGTTGTTTAAATATGTATTATTTCTATCTCCATCATGTACCCCGCTCATATTATAGCTCGATAAAATTTTGACTGTTTTTAGCATATTTGCTGCGTTATCGGAAGTTATTGAAATTATCTGGTTGAGGTTTATATCGTATTTTTTCAAAATCCAAAATTTCTGCAGCAAGATTATTTGAGGCACTTGCGCCGATGCCTTCCTAAAATAAGGGATCTGATTTCGTCTTCCTTAATAAATTGTGCACTGATTCCAAAAATATTGCGTTAGAGCCTTGATGCGCTAGCAATCTTTAAAGATAGAAGCCGTTTGCACATTTCCGTTTTCATGTTCAATTTTATATTTGCGGCAACTTTATTTAAAGTAGTCTGACAATGTTGAGCATTAAAAGTAAAACGCTTGCCAAGCTTCTCCTCCAAACCGGCGCAAATTGGATCAATTATGTTTTTCAAATTGGGAGAATTGAGAACATTGAATGGTGTTCTTACA